AGCGCGCTGGCCGCAGCAGAGCCCGGGAGTGCGCAGGGCCCTGAGCGATGTGCCGGTGTGCGGGAGCGGGTGCATTGTGGGAGCGGCTGGCAGCGATGGCAGCGGGCTCTGCCCTGCCCGGGCACCGCGCGGGGCTCCCGCCGTGCCCAGCCAGCTGCTGGCCGCATCCGCAGGCATGAAACCGAAAGGCAGCTCCGATTATCGCTGGCCTTTCCCGCAACTTTAGCCTGTCTGGCACTGTCAGAACGTGACAGGCTGTTCTGCAAACAGCAGTGACAATACTGCTGCCACCATTTCATTTTTGCTGTCTTTATAAAGACCTTGCCGTGCAGAACTCGCATCTGTGGCAAGTGGTTTCATAGAAGATCTCAAAGTGGTATTAGTATCGATGACAGTCTCGAGTATTCCAGTTGACAAGTTTTTTGCCCCCTATGTTTAGTAGTAACAAGTGTCTTGTTTAGTCTTTTCCTGTGTAAAAACTTAAAAGGTTATTTAATTTGCATATGATTTAAGGAGTTTTGAGGAAGTTTCAAACTAGTGATGCCAGACTGGAATTCAGGAAGTTGGTTTTGTTGTTCAGTTTAGTTAGTTGGCTTAATGCAGATAGTATCCAAGAACTGAATAAAATAGCATATATCGATGTACACCAAAAACAAAATGTGAAGGATCTGTGCAGCTTCAGTGTTTGCAATGCAGACATTGACAGCACGGTCTGTTTGGGGGAAGAGAGGTTGCTAATGTAGATAACAGCTCTTTGAATCTGTAAAATCACTGTGTAAGGTAAAGTAGACTTTGCATAAAGTAGCATCAGTGATTCTGGGTCCTCTAAAGTCACTGTCAAAACAAATTGTAACTTCAGTCATAGAAACTTCTTGTCCTGAGTTCAGGTGAGCCCATTATAAGATCTGGTGGAAACCCCCTACTATCTGTCATCTTTCGATGAAATAAACACTCTCTCTGTTGACATCTCATGGAGTGAACTGGTTAAATGGAACCCACACTTATGACAACTTACCTTGGCTCACAGTACTATAGAAGATAATGTTCATTCTGCAGATCTGTAGACTTTGGAATGAGAAGTTATTGCGGAGACAGTTTCTTTCAAGAAGTCCCAGGTTAAGCTAACCAGGTCATTAGGCTGGGGTGACCTAAGAAAAGCAATTAGTGTGACTGAAGTACTACTTGGAAATGGAAGTACATAAAACTAAGATCCAGCTAAAATTGTTCTATGTTGCCTAATGTTTCCTGTAGTTTTTATTCAAGTTAGAAGTTTATTACATTTCTATTGGTAATAAAGTAATTATCAGCATCTAATCATGCATAAACGTGGAAGCTCCTCTGAGTTCACCAGAAGCATGTCTTTCCATGCTGTCACCAATCTGCTTAGCAGAATTTTGTTCCTCTTTTTGCTTAGCATTTAAGTTGAGGTGGCAGCTAAAGTGCCAGTACAACATGTGAACAAAAGTTTGGGTTTATGTAAATTTATTTCAGAAGACCTCAGTCAGTAATGTGTAGGTGAACAGAAGAGCGTTACCAAAGGCTCAATATCAAATTTATGGTCAAAGTTTGATTTAAAACAGTACTTAACATTGATTTGATTCCCACACACCCCACCTTTACCCCCTTCCGGAGGAGGCGCCAGAAAATCCCTGGGGAAATACGTCTGCAAATGCAATGAAGTTTCATTGGTAAAAAAGT